ACCTGTGCGCTTACGTTACTGTTTTAGCCTGTGCGGTTAAGGGTTAACTGCGTTCATACACAAGAAATTAATAGCTTGCGAGTGTTGATTTTCCTTAACTGATTTGTTCCATATCTCCAAAGCGAACGAAAAATGGTCTTGTGTATTCTATAAAACGTGAAGGCAATATTGAATTACTATTTGGCACAGCCAAATGTTAGTCTTTGAATTCTTACCAATTTATAGCATGTGGCAAACGTGATGCAGTTTAAAAGACGTGTTGTCTTCATGTCTCTCTTTTCGTTCATTGCCTCGTTTCTCTGAACTACTCGTAGCACTTCGTTGTACATGCCATTGTTGAAGAGTAAATCGCATAAAATTATTGGAGAAGTAGCGTCATCAAATAAGTCCGCAGTTTCAAAATTGTGAGCGATCTAATGAATAAGTAAGAAGTAGTTAATAATTCAGTACGTCAATAAAAGTTCTATTTCATAATTTACGTTTATTGCTTCTTGCGACATATTTAGCGAATGAAACATTCGCATTACAACTGGTCCAAAGTTAAAATTTTTAGGTGGATCAGGATGCGGATTATCACGAAGGAATAGTAAGCACTTCATCAGCAAGGAAAAGTGTTCCTTGCATTGTGACCTATCTATCACATGAATCCATGGTTTAAAACTTTTAATTAGCTCTTCCCTATTTTTGGCCCTTAGTTGGAATTCAATGGTTTCCACCACTGTATCCGGTTGAACGAATTTCCGGGTTTTCAATCGCTGTGATTCAAATTCAGTTACCCTTAAAAACTCTTTTGTAAATAATTTCCTCGTTGAACACACCGTTACTATGAATTACAACGAAATCGCATTAGCTTTAAATGATACTTGAATACCTCATTCAATACTTACAAGCATTTTGATGTATTGAATGCCCGAAAATCCGCAAATAATTTAATATCATCGTTATAAATACGACTATTCAAGAAACAAAGTATTTCTAGTATTTTTAATTTTATTTTATAGGTATATATTGTGTTTTTCTTCTTCTTATTTTAATACTGCATTATCGATAAAAACCATTTATATTGAGGAGTGCTGCAATGCATGCTAATAAATCTCGTCCATGTTTTTTTTAAATAGACATGAAAAATGTCATCCATTTAATGAAAAATTTAACTTTTTATTTGAATAAAAATGCAATTT